ATCAATCTCTCCGAATCGTCTTCTAATTTTGATATTGACTCTCAACAGTGACAGATGTTTATTCAAACAATTGAGTTATAGTATGTTTTCATCAATTCAACTTGAATTTACCATTGTCATCAAATTGAAGAGGAATATTCTCCATTTTCTATGTTGAAAACGGGAACAGATTTCACGTTTACGAAACGTCAAAAACTAAGTAAAAATCTGATAATGATATACCTATATAACTATATTGATATACTTATATCTTTATTTCTCTTTTTCAAACATTTTTCAAAACAAGGTGTCACTGTCAAACGAGTGCATTTTGGGGTCGATCACCTGCTGAAATCATTAATGGTAGAAATCACAAGCAAGAAATATAATTTATGGAAATTCAAAACTGGCACAAATATAAAATATTTAACGGTTGAAAACATAATTGAGCTCCCTTTCTAGCCATGAGCACTACAAATGTCTCAACAATGAATCAGAAATCAAGACTTATCAGCAAAGCGATTTCCAGGTTTGAGAGGGAAATGTATATATATATCGAACCTGTATTTCTGATCAATCTCAGGATTTGGTTACTAACCATGATATTTATTGATTATTATATTGAAGAATAGAAAATAACGGGTAAGCCGAAAGAAGTCATCCGTTGTTGTTTGGTTCTCATTCTTTTTCTTGATGGAAAATTCAATTTAGTTTTTGGATTATGATTATTTATGTGTATTCATGTTCAGACGAAATCGAAGTTTCTCATTCAGAAAAAAAATTAGTGCCGAACAACATCGGATGACTTCTTTTGGCCCACCTTGTAGAATAACTATTCTTCTAATAGACCAATTGACATTGTTATCAACAGAAAAAAAACATGAAAAATCATAAATAATACATTCACATGAAGTGGTTAATATAATAACAAAGAGGCTGTTAACAAAATAGAAAGCGACATGGAAATATGCACACAAATATATTATACAGAATACATCAATCTAGTTATATTTTTTCACCCTCGAAGGGATAATATTCTTGTTCACTGAGTAATCTTCTTGTTATATCCTTATGATACTCATTGACAAAATTTGCGCCCTCAATTCTGAATTCTCCCCTGGGCAGTTGCTCCTCGTGATCTGTGGTTAATCCTGCCCTGCCGACGTCGCTACAAAGCAATTGTGTCAACATCAGGCATTTATAGAAACCCTAGCCGATAGAGTGTCTGCTGAAATTTCAAATATAATCATAGATAAAGAACTTGAACTTGACGTGATCAATAAGCGGTGAACAGAAATGAGAAAATAATATTTTCACATGAAATCAATATTCAGCCATCTGAGTGCACGAAAACAGTGACTTAAAATTTTTATAAAATTGTTCTATCCGTCATTCGGTTGCCCCCTTACGAGCAACCCTCAGAAGTCTTCGAAAGTCTTGTGCGAGCAAGGAATGACTGGGGCCTTACCTTTCAACGTGTGATCCCAAACACTTTCTTGAGCCATCAGAAAAATGTCTGCAGTCAATGGGAATCGAACTATCGAACCCACGATACCGGCAAGCGAATGCGAATTAGAATATAGACACTCTGTCCGCACGGCTACCTGGCCCCCCTGATATGATCTAATTGCCTGAGACCATAGATGAAGCGACAACAGGTATTTTGTATTTTGTACAATCTCATTTCAGTAACCATGTCTAGATCATAATGAAAAATTATAAGACAATATTGAAGTATTGGCAAAACGATAGTTTCACAAAGTTTCTTTCTGCGGGAAAAATTTGAGATACTTTCATTTGCAAATATATAAGAGTTTTAACGACAGAAATGATTTTTTCACTGAATTATTTACTTGACTCATGACCCAGAGTCAGTATCCATTATCAGGCCAATAATCTTAGCCTCGGTAACCAGAGGTATGAGAACATTGTCAATATGAAGAATACTTTCATGTCTAACAATCTCGTGAATATGCTGCGCGCAAAACAGCATAGCTGAATATTTCTTAGGATTCAGCTTCGAAGCATGTCTTCAACAATAATGGTTCAGGAGTTCCAAGTCACTGTTCAACCTTTGAACTGCAACAGGGATATTTTGTAAATCGAAGCTGTATTTTATTTGGTTATCATCAGCATATGATTGCATTTCTGGAAACTTAACATTTATATATATATAAGAAGTGTATACAAGAAAGACTAGTGGCCTCAAAATGAAATGCCATTATTTGTACGAACTTTTGGTGTTCGATTGGCAAGATAGGAGGGAAACGCTGCGATATTGTCCAAACCGTGATACTTCAATTTTGAATAAATCAACTTATGATATACAGTGTCGAATGCTTTTGAAAAATCCAACAGCACCAGCACTGTCGCCTCTTTTCTGTCTATGGCTGTAACAATATTATCATTTATCTTAATTAATGCACTTGTGGTAGTAGTAGTAAAAGAAGCAGGTGGAGAGGCTGTTTTCAAGCAAGCAGGCCCCGATGGGCCCTTTTTGCTAACCCCTGCTCTCCACATATCTACGATTCCTTCACCAAGATTTCCTTCACAAATCTCCCTAACCTTTTGATGAAGGTCAGTATGCCTGTCCACTCTTATATAATCAAGTCCTCCTGTAAGAGTTTTTCTACTCCAAAGATTTCAAATCTTAGCCTTCCGTACGCCTCCTACTCGCCGAAAAAATGGAGTGCGGCAAGTGGAGTTGTCCTCTATTCCCATAAGTAATAGGTGTCTGCCTAGCCTTTTGTGTCCTGTGAGTACTCCAATGAGGAGGCGGAGTACTTGGCGGTCTCTGCCAAGCAGCCACTCCTTCCCTGATGTACTTGGACCGGTCATGAATTCCTTGGATTGCCTGCAAACTGTGATGTTTCTTCAGTATCCTCCTAGTGCCTTGTCCGCCCATTCATCGAGGGCTGACGTAATTTGGCTCTTTGCAATACTTAGTACAGACTCCGGTCCCAGAAACGGCTCCGCGGATCTGACCCTAGCAAGTTCGTCTACTGTTTCGTTTCCGGGCACACCACTATGACCCGGGACCCATACCAGTTCAACTTCCTGTGATTCGGCTAATACGAGGGCACTTGTAATACTATGACCACGTCTGAAACCTGATTGATGTAGTGAAATGATAGCGTTTCGAGATACATACTTTTGTAATAATTGAATATTTACGAATTTTCCCAAAATTTTGCTCAATACCGGCAATAAACTCATTGATGGTCGTAAGACACAATAATCTGATGGATTGGGATTTTTAGGTATAGGGTTTATAATCGCATTCCTACAACCAAATCAGTTCCAAGATATTCATGATATTTCATAATTACCGCTTTTTTCTTTAATTTCAACGCCCTGTATCTCAGAAACGAAGCAGCTCGGACATATGTTCATAGGAATTTTTCATCTCAAAATAACCCAACAAATCACCCCCTGCAGTTAGGAACCGCAGTCAGGAACCGTAGTTAGGAAACACCTTGTATAGTCTAATATTGCAGGTAAACACAGCTTAATCATATACAGGGTAACTCACGGTCGATGGTACGTTAGACGTTTATGGAGAACGGGACATAGGATCATTCTGAAATTCTTGTTACTCACGTAGTTGCTCTTGGTCTATCGATCTAAAATATTTTCAGCTCTGCGGCGTTGCCACTTCTATCAAAAAGTAGCAACAACTTTGTTATTTTACATGGAACACCCTGTATTTTATTGCATTTTCATATTTTCTCTGAAGAGCTGATTCCATCGATGTATTACACTTGGGGTCTAGCGGAAATGATTACAGAGATATAGGGTGTGAAAAATCGACATTTTTCAACTTTAGGATTTTTTTTGTCGAAACTATTCATTATTGGTCGAAACGGATCACTTGTCCCAATCTCAAGTTTTGATCAACTATCTACTGACATTTAATTGAAACAAATACAGGGTGGTGCAGAATTCAGAATCTTGATCACCCGGTATATCTCCCAATTAAATATCAGTAGATAGTTCATCAAAAGTTGAGATAGGGACATTTGAACCGTTTTGACCAATAATGAATAGTTTCGACAAAAAAAAATCCTAAAGTTGAAAAATGACGATTTTCCACACTCTATATCTCTGTAATCATTTTCGCTAGACCCCAAGTGTGTTACATCGATGAAATCAGCTCTTCAGAGAGAATCTGAAAATGCAATGGAATACAGGGTGTTCCATTCGAAATAACAAAGTTGTTGCTACTTTTCGATAGAAGCAGCAACGCCTCAGAGCTGAGAATATTTTAGATCGATAGACCAAGAGCAACTACGTGAGTAACAAAAATTTCAGAAAATGATCCTATGTCCCGTTCTCCGTAAACGTCTAACGTACCATGGACCGTGAGTTACCCTGTATATTGATATGTTATCAATACCAATGGCGTTAGATTTGATGCCTTCAATGATTTTTAATATTCCCATCTGACTAAGAGATCAAAAACTAAATTTCATATTTGGTTAAAACAAATCACCATTATAAAAATTTGATAAACCTTGGTCGGCTTGTACTATGTTGAAAGAGGATAAAAATGTATTATTCATCATTGTAGGGTCAGTTAGATTAACAGGGAGCTCGATATTCGATTGTTTTTGAATTTTCATTTTTTCAATAACTTTCCACATATCAGAGTTATCATTATGTTGTCAAAACTGTAAGTATCCTGTTTTCTCCCTACGTATTGAAGCAAGAGAATAGTGAACAATAATCTGACAAATCATCGAGATGATGATTTTGTCGAATAATCTGTATGTGATTTACTTACGTGATGAACGATGAACATTTCATTTACCAAAGACTGTTACTTATTCATTGACTGAGCGTTCTCAATGAGAATTCATTCGATCTGATTCGATATTATTCATTAACATAATCACACAAAGTGAAGAATATTAACTATTCATTGAGGTAAAAAACTCAGTATTAATTGTAGCAATTCCGAATGCTACATCTCAGTGCACTGTTTGTTCCACATATACGTGAATTGAGAATATACTACTTACAATATACACGACGGGCTGTCCAATATTTGGACAAGAAGCAGACCATCTGATCAGTAGACATGGCAGCTCTCGTGGCTCGAAATCGACTTTGAGATCCTTGGGCGCCGCTTTGAGATCCAATAAAGTGACAACGGACCGTAAGTCGTTTGGGCTGATTTTGCTCACAGCTCCGTCGTTCGAGGTGATGGTCACTGCGAAATTGTACTTAGTACAAAATTCTAGATCTTCGACCACTGCACTTTCGTTGGTCGTCAACAGTTTCGGTGCTAGAATGAAATAAGTTTTTTTATTCAATTACAGTAATTGGTGGTTCCTGAATCACAAGAAACATCATTCCCTTCCTATATCTCAAATATTGCTCTTCTTACCGAGATGCTCCAGCTGTCTATCAAGCTAGGCAAACATGGAATTCCAGATTATAACCTAGACATTCAATAGAGAAAAGTGACGGGAAAGTTCTTTTTAACTCCTATATGTCATGGAGCTTAGTTTTCATTGTACAATTTGTTAAAGTTTCATAACTTTCATAACAAATTGTTTTCTATCTACAGTTCATTTACCCTTGGACTCATTTTTCTTGAACACAGCAAGTATCTTCGTGATGCTGAAATATATTTCTGACGTAATCAGATTAAATATATTCATTTTAGTAACACCCCAGTGGATTGCAAGATTGAAATTCATGGTAGAAAAATCATTGTGCTTTACTGTTATTTCTGATTTTCTAGTATGTAGTTTCTGATTGGAGAAAGACAACTCTTCTGATCAATTCGTGTTCTGCTCAGTTTTGGGGATAGGACGATCGATTCTATTCGTAATTTGAATCTAATATAGGAGCATTCAGACATCTATTGAGAAAACTCGATGGTTATGATTTGTATACTTTTGAGATTCTGAAAATCTTTTGATCACCGATCACATTAAATTTCATAATCATGATTGAGGCGCTTGACATTTAACACTGTATCACGAAATAAAGGTCCATTACTAACAAGTTCATATCAACTCCCATTAATATTCTTGCGAGTGATAGCGCCTATCAGATTTTCAGTTATTTATAATACAAGTGGAAAAAGTAGTTGTAGTAGTTTCCTTTCCGTATATTCATTTGATTGTTCTATCAGCAGGGTAAGTTTTCATGTAGGTGAGTATAAACTATTCCCATAATGATGATTGAGGAATGAAAAACACATCAGATGAGATTCGAAAACCGATTAGAAAAAATTCGTTTATGTTGATACACAATCGAACATCGAACTATTATAGGGCTATTTCAGATTGAAAATTATATATATTCCCATCCAAGCGGGCTTGTCAATATTATTTATGGACCTATATCCACATTGTCGACAAAGCTCGTTATGATAGGGGTAGGTATTATACGTCATATTTCTTTTATTATTATATATCTGATGCCTGATCACAGACAAAATCATGGGTCGCCGTTGAGATATATTCCGGCTATTTATGTATGATTTCCATAATATTCAAGGAAGGATTGCGAGATGGATGGATGAAAAAATTCGATTGAATACTCACACATTAAGATTTAATCATCATGAGTGTGAGTATGAAGTTCAATTTTGAGATAGAAAGTACCTATATGTTCATATGGAATTCAATCATCCATCATAATTTTGAAGCAGATGATATTCATTGTAGATTAAGTAGGTTGGCATGTCAATTTATTGATCCGGTTGCAGTTAATCATGATATGAATGTTTCTTTCGATGCAGTGGAGATTCGTATCAGTTAGTAAACCAATACAAAATAGACCAAGGAATATGTTGACCATTTTGATATGGCGGCTTGGGCTTGAAAGACCAGATGGTGAAAGCAGAGTTAGATTAATTCCTGTATGAAATATTCGATCCTCTACTTAAAGTTATCAGTATTTTAAGCAATATATATCACAATATTATAAAAGTTCGTATTCACATTTTTCTATATTTCACACTCTCAACGTAAAATGCTCAACCTGTTGGGATAAATGACACAATCTCATTATCAAATGTGAAAGGAATATAATAGAATCAGATTGTTCGCCTGATATGTTTTCTATACTATTGCGTGCCATACCATTGTGCATTGCAACAATCTGTCACTGTCAACAAAGTCCGAATCAACCACGAAAAGTTTTGCTCTTCGCCTTCAAATTATCTCATTTTCAACATATGAAGTTGAGAATATTTCCTAATAATGATATTGATGAAGGAATAATTGCAGTAAATAGCAGTGAGTATAGAGTCAAAAAGATAGTTATGTTTTCAAATTGGTACTTTCATCTTATCAAGTACGTACCTACCTATATCATCACATCATAACATTCGAACAATGCAGATGCATCCTTCACAGATCATCACCACGAAGTATTGATCTTGAAAATTGACGAATCCCATGGGCAAAATGTTTCCAAAATAACCCTATATCGACTTAATTCCAGACCGATCCCAAACCTGAAGTAAAAGCTTTTTGAGGAGATGAATATTCATTATTCCAAATACATTATCGAATAAAGAATGAAGATAGATAGCATTCAGGATTAATTGCCTATGAACACATGAAGACGATACTTAGTTATTTCATTTCCTAAGTGAATGAATGAAGCTACATTTCTGTTTCTGTCGAAATTTTTCGATATCGTCATAAAACTCTCAATATTTTTTGCATCATTCGAAGATGATTTAGTGGTTTTCGAAGATGATGCGTCTTCAGTTTTATTCAGTACATTGTTAATTCTAATCATCAGTTCTGCATTTCCTCGAGCAATATCTATTCTCGAACCATTCAGATCTTCTCCGATTGTATCAGTTTATTGTTGAAATGAATCATCATGCTTGAATTATGTCGTTCAAAGTATATTCTAACATATTTGATGACTGATGAGATTTTTGCTTGGAGTGCTAGTAAAATCACTTCTTTCACTTCGATGATTCATTCCTTCGAAACTTGCAACTATTAATGTTTGCGCAGTAGTGCACTACTTTCAACAAGATAAGCATCTCAGTTGTGAAGATTTAATGTCGGAATGTCTATCAATTCGCGACTTTTCATTCACGGATTTGATCAGATTGAACATCTTCTGTTGATGTATCTGTATATGACCTCTATCTTCTTCAACACTCTTTATATATATTTATCCACAAGCAAAGTGGCAAAGAGCCCTAATTCAAACATATGTATACATTACCCGTGAGCTCCTCGCCGTCCTTAGCATAATGCACTCCGTAGGTGATATTCAGATTCATGTCATCCAATTTTCTACCCCAGACAAGCTTGACAGCGTTGCCGATCCCAGGTGGTAAGATGACTCTGAGTATTTCTATGCTAATTGATCCGACACCATCTGGCCACGTGTCGACTTGGGGAGTTCCGGGAGTGGAGGGCTGTAGCGCCGTGGGGTCCGGGAATTCTGAAGGACTTATCGTAGCCTCGGGATCCCCGTCAAAGGTCGCAGGATGAACCTGAAAATGCAATAATTAAGATTCGGAAATAGCAGTGAAACTAAATGATGCTGGGAACAATGAAGTTGACATGATAGAGGTGAATACCCTGCCGCATATTATTCGCACGTTGACATGAACAGAAATGATCATTTGAACTACCAGTATAAAGATGATGGCGATTAATGTTCAAGATGTCTACCATTGTTTTACATTCCTTGGAGCGTACGGAAGGAAATTCCCAAAATGTTCGTGGAACTTCTTGTGTACATAGGGAGGATAGGGAGAGGAGGTAGGTGTTGACGTCGTTAGAACTTCTGGAAGTTATAAAATCTTGGAATTACTTTCATTGGTAATGAATTCCAGGGCTTCGCCGTTATAAAGACAAACGAGATTTGGTAGAGTGTTATTCGACATTAACCATGAATGATGACCAAGGGATGAGCTGACTGAGCCTGTCGTGTTCGTCTGACTGATAAGTATTGCTATTGATGAAATTATAGAACAGAGATCCTTGAGAAATATTTTCCGTGGAAGTATCTTTAATGAAGTGAAAAGTTGGAGACATTTCTAAGGAGTTTTGATGTTTGAGTCTGAGAGTTAGTGAGTATGAAATCACCCACTAGGCGGATGAATCATCTTTCGATGGGATCTGAGAGCATCAGCGTATGTTTTCATGCTGAACCTATACATGTATACAATATTCAAGAACTGGCTGTATCTGTATATCATCATAAGCTGTTGAGGTGTAAACTAGATTTCCGCACGGCACAAGAATCCGAGTTATTGTGAAGAACTTTTTGCCGTGAATCAAACGAGATTTCTTCATGGGGAAGTATTGCTGATGGTAACTTGGTGGAGATAATACAGGCTTGAACTCTGGAGGCGTTGAATTAGACTAGTTTGTTAGTTGGCATGTGCTGCTCCTTATAGATCGTTGATATGAAGTAGGAACAATGTCGGTGCCAGAGTTGATCCTTTTGGATCGCCAGAATTGATGACAATGGTATCAGATGATACTCTGTCCAACACCACATGGATCGATGTGCCTGAAAGATAACTCGATGGAAGATGGCATAGCTGAGGTGGTGTGCCGTATGATTTCAGATTTCGCAGCAGTCCTTGGTGCCCTCGATATATCTAACGCTGCAGCTAGGGATTTTCCATGTTTTCCTAATGGAGGTTGCAATATTTGGATAACGTCTGCAAGTGAATCTTCAGTCGATCTTCGGTAGAGAGAGCCATATTGTCTATCATTGATGATTCCCAAGCTCTGCAGATATTTGATGTGCTCAATGTCTTTCTCCATCACTTTGAAGATGACTGATAACAGGACAATTGATCAATAGTTGTTGGGCAGGCTCTTGTTTTCTTTTTTGAGGATTGGTTGGACTCTAGCTATTTTCCAGAGAGATAGAAAAATCTTGCTTGCGAAGCGAGCGCATTGAAGTTCAAGATCATAATTCGCCATATTAATATTCTAGTCGTTGGTTACACAGTTTCTCCGTCGACTATCAATCAATCGATCAATCATTCATTGTTTATCAAAACATTGAAGTTTCATGAAATTTTGAGTCCAGACAGCAATATGAGTCGTGGAAAAAATATATTGTGGAAAGTGAATATGAAATATAAAATGTCCGTGCAATGTACAGTCTTATTCAGAAAACATGTCGCATATAAACGTCTATTTTCAACGAACTACACAGGCTCTATTTAAACCATTTTTTGGAGCTGGTTATCCTGATAATTGGTTCGGTAGGAGGCACAAGACATATATGCTGCTCTTGGAGATCAAGAAAATTCCAGATATCATGATAAGGAACACTATCTAGCTGATGATATGCAGAGGGCCGCCATTCTTGGATTATTGCGTCTACTCAGGAGACATCCCAGCAAACATTTTGATATGGGGCATCAATGGCCTAATATATTTTTCCCATACCTGACATCAGCGGCCCAGTAAATGGTCCCATATGCGGGACTCTATATATCAGTACACTGCGGCCGGCAGCTGGTCCCAGTGCTGGGTACCCAGCAATCATATTCAGTTCCCCGGCAAAAGGCCAGTACAACATAATCGACACATTGAGTTTTCCATAGCAAGCCCAGCATATACATAAATGATGGGACTGTAATGGCCAATTAACGACATTGTTTACATTATCGAGGTAGGGAAGGGGTAGGGGTTTTAGGGGTCCAATGGAACTGAAAGTTCTAGTACCTCTTTATTTCACAATATAACCCTCCCATCATGAATCAGATGAATACCAGATTCCAGCAAAAACAATTTTATGAATAACACAATGATATATCTTCTTAACCTCTCTGTTCTTCAACGATGAAACTTCTTGGAGTGACTGCTTACTGGTTGGTATGTGGTATTTACATCTTATTGAGCATTCCTTCAAAGTTGATTCTTCGTTGTGAGGTACTTCTGAAATATAAAATGCATCATTTGTTTAATATTAGTGGCCTATGAGTTGCATGAGTTTATAACTTGATAATATAGTCTGATCACGTGATAATATGGAGCTTTCCGATTCTCATTATTTTCTTGGCACAGGTATTTCTGTAGCTGAAACCTTATTAGAGATTACTTTTGAGAGCAACAAACGAGTTGAAAATGATAGTTGCTTTTGAAGAAGTATAGCCAACTCCAATTATTATGATCATTAGGTATATGAGATAACGGGATACCAAACACATGCATTCAATAATGGAATTCGAAACACTATGTAGGTAGATTGATACTTACTCAATATTATCATAATCAAAGAATCCGTCTTCTATTATTATCAATTGAGAAAATACTTCTGTCATCATAAATAACCACCAGGGAAAGAGAGGACCACATTGATTCGACATGAACAAACTAGTACGCGATCACCACTCACGAGAGTCCGCCATCTTAGTCACATATAATATTGATCAGCTGATTGTTGATGTAGACGTTCCCAGACCGTCCACCAGGGGGATGAGTAGCGGACATGAAATTGGCCAGCAAGGGGCCAGATCTCGTAAGTATTCAATTAGTTCCAGACATCTTACCATCACAAGGCCATCATCGTATTTTTAACTGATGGTTACTTGGCATAGGAAAATCATCGGCCCATTACCAATACCCCGGCATCGTCACTTTCCCAGACTAGCCTGCACTAGGCCGGACTTCTCCCGCTAGTTCAATGTTTGCTGGGATGATTCATGGTCCCAGTGACAACTCAACCCACAGGCTGTGGATAGTTGTCACTGGATTTCATTCAGCACGACTCCTAGTGGCGTCGAAAGTCGAAAGTTTTGACTGGAATTGAAATGAATTCAATGAAAATAATGATAAAAATACTGATGATATTGATTATAATTATAATTATCATTATTATTATTATAATGTTCACGATGAATTTGATAAGAATATAGAAAATAATCATGATAATGATCATAATAATGATGATGTTGACAATAATAATGATAAAAATGTTTTTTTGAGGGGCAAACCGTGCTCCACCCCAATACTGAATATCTTGAATGTCACTCCGGACTCCTCGAAATAAAAGTAAAATATTTCAGTTGCCTGGATCGATTATCGAAAAGCATTCGATACCACGTCACATGAAATACTCCTGTACTCGCTCGAGTGTCTCTTGGTGCCTGATTTTATAGTGAGATGCATAGAATAACTGACGCTGTTCCGGAAGATTCGCTTCACCATAACAGCAGGTAATGCGAGAATCTAAACAAAGCCAGTGATCATAGGGAGGAAAATATTTTGGGAGGACGCCCTCAGCCCCCTCCTATTCTGCATTTCACTACTGCCACTATCCGTTGAACTGAAGAGCAGAAGGATACCATTGTACGCCACCCAGTTACCAGAGACATGAGGTCAACTACTCATTCCATGTAGATGACTTTGAACTTCATGCCTCTGGTGGAAGTGATATTAACCAATCCCTCAGGTTGATGCAGGAGTACACACAGGCAATTGGAATGGAATTCAAATTGAGCAAATGTGTACTAGTTCATCTAAAGAGAGGACAATGCGAGAATTTTGACAAGGACACGCAGCTCGTGGACGGAAGCAATTTCCATCATCTGAATGCCGGAGAGATGTACACCTACCTGGGTGTAGACTGTAGAGCAAACTCTCATCCAGGATGAAACTGCAAAAAGTCACCCATGCAGTCAGTCTACTTCAAGACCATTGAAGACCAGATATCATCGAAAGAACTGAGTTATGCATTCCCTAAGTCAGAGAATCCTGATTCAGAGAGAAAGAGTTTCATCATGGCATGCCAGAAAAGGGTCTTCAACACTCTCGTTAACCGCAGAAGCATTATGGGTATAATGCAAGGCCTGCAGCAGGGCGCCGGAGACACCCTTGCACCTGCTGTCGTCTTGTAATGTGCATGCACTCTCGGCCTATATCCATAGACACAACCCAGATAGCACAAATTCCTTTTGAGGCCCTTCTGAGGCGTTCACAATCATGTCCTCAGGACGTCGAGAGCGAGCCTAAGGACATTCTCAAGACGTCCTCCTGTTACCATTCTCTACATTCTAATAACGTCTCAGAACATCCCTATAAAATCTTTTGAGACAACCTCAGGACATCATGGTAACAACTTGAGGCGGTTTTTGATGATGTTTCAAGGAGGTTCAAGATTTATGGGAGAATATTATTCGTATACAGAATTAGTCACTATAGTGTGTTCTCCTCCGATATTAGCCAAACCGTCAGATATATAAAATGAAAATTCAAGTACAACAGTAATAGGGTTTCATAAGAACAATCACCTAAAGTTGTTTTTATATCTATAGGGTGTTCGAATTCCAAGATATCGGTTGATGATTGGTTTTTTTCAATGGAACACCTTGTATATTATTGCATTTTTGAGTTTTCCCTGAAGAGTTGATTCCATCAATGCATCACACTTGGTGTCTAGTGGGAATTATTACAGAGATATAGGGTGTTGACAATTGAGATTCTTCAAATGTAGGATTTTTTGTGTCGAAACTATTCATTA